CCCTTATAGTGGAACAGAGATGTGACACCACGTATATAATTGGCCCCTGTGCAGGGACTGGAGGGAGACGCATGCTCCATGTGATAATGATGAAGCCCTACCAGGAACGTTCAGAGGAGGTGACCGTTATCTGTGCACCCAACTCTGACAAATTTGACAGCCTCCCTCTCCCAGACCTTTTGGGGGGCGGTCGGCTGTCTGGGGATTTAGGGGAGGTTGCGCTGGGAGACCGGTTGAGCCCACAGGAGCGTACCAAGATGCAGCAGCTGCTAAGGGAGAAGCAAGACACCTTCTCCAATGTGCCTGGGTACACTCCTCTGGCCACTCACCGAGTAAAAACCCCAGGGCAACTACCCATGCACCAGACTCCCTACCGCATCCCTGAAGCAGTGCGGGAGAACATGCACAAGGAGATTGACGAGATGCTCCAGTTGGGGGTGATTGAGCCATCGGATAGCCCCTGGGCCTCCCCAGCAGTCTTCGTACCTGCCGGGATGGTACGACCCGCTTCTGCGTAGACTACCGGAGGTTAAACTAGAAGACAGTGTCTGATGCCTATCCTATGCCTAGGATAGATTAACTGCTAGACCGAATGGCCAGAGGCTACTACTATTGATGTATGTAAGGGTGTGATGAAGTGCCCTTCGCCACTTTGTCCTGGAGAGGCCTGCTTGCCTGCCTCCTCCCCTGCGACTATGGCCCTGTGGAGATTGTACCCTCTTAAATCAGCATTTGGGCTTATGGACTTTTATTGGACTGTGTAAGGCCCTTTGGTGCCAAGTAAAAGAGATCCTGTTTGACCCTCAATACGTAGCCTTGTCTCGTTATTGGTGGGAGCTGCTATATTCACACTGGGGATTGCTATGCTCTGCATACTCCCTTAAATTGAATTGCTTAGCTCTTTTAAGAGCTTGTTCCTGATACGCTCTCCTGGAGGAGAGGTCTTCCTGTAGCGTTACTCACTGTGACAGATTCATCTGCATTGTTGGTTCGTCTGTTTCCCTTTTGTTCGCGGAATTGCCTGTTCCTATACCCCCGTTCG